AATACTATTTACCAGTATTTGTGACAGCTCTGTCCTGTTGTTTTTTTTTTATGTTATCTATTCTTAATTTTTATAATACCTACTCTTAATTTTTATGGTAATTTATACAGGGTGTCCGGAAAGTCAACGATAATACTGAAAGGGCTGGTAAAACAACTCATGTGCATCCAGAAAAACATAATATGACCTCAGTTAAAAATCGATGGTTTTCGAGATATTGCCACTTTAATGAATTTGTTAAACTGGTCCTCTTGGATCACCTGGCTAATGAATTTTTTTGAAAACTACCCATTCTAATAAATAGTTTATTGTAATGACTTACAGTGAAGGATCAACCTAATCTACCTTATGAGATTATTCTAAAAAATTTAACAAATTGAATCATGTTCAAACAAAAGTATTTTTCCGCAAACGTCAAAAAATGACGACTTTTTTAACCTCAATTCTTAATATAGTTATAAATTATAACTCAATTAGGGAATCCAAACCACGTGACTTTTGCCAACCAGCCGGCATTTTGAAATTTTTATGAGGTTAGAATACGGGTTTTTACATGTCAACGATGTCAGAAAAGTGTCAGATTTAAGAACTCGTCCCGTGTATTGATAAAGCCTTGTACTCATAAAAGCGAAATTCGCTCTTTTTTCAACGTCAAATTGTCGATGCAATGTCAAAAAAGAGCAAATTATGAGTACTAGGCTTAATCCTGCCAAAAAAAAACATATGTTTTTTGTTTATTGTTTGCCAACCAGACGCCATTTGGACAGGTCGTTGGATTGCCTAATTCTTAATGTTGAAATTTGACTTCACAGACGTCATTTTTTTGGTTACTTTTGTACGCTCACGGCCGGACAAAAAGTGACGTCACAGAAATTTCCTAGATTCCATCGCTTTGAACACCGTTTGCGGAAAAAATCGCATGTTTTATTCGGAGAAAAGCACTTTTACTCCTAATAAAACAAAATACTATTATTTAAAGAACCAAAAATAAAGAAATGAAATAATATGTTCGAAGTGCCTACCACCAACACGAATGCAGGAGCGGCATCTTTTTAAAAACGACTTCTTTAGGTAAAAATCTGATCCAAAAGGACGATTTACCGACCTTTATTGAAGCAATATCTCGAAAACCATCGATTTTTTACTAAGGTCATATGTCATATGTTTTTCTATATTGATGCTTATGAGTTGTTCCACCAGCCCTTTCAGTATTATCGTTGACTGTTGACTTTCCGGACACCCTGTATACAACTACAAACTACATACGACATCGGCAATTAACAACAAAATATAAGCAGAAGTAGGTGGAGTAAACCTTAAGTACCTATGGTTGAACCAAATCCAGAGATAAACCAAATCCAAGCGGCAGTAATGACATAACTGGTTACAACCTATCAAATGTCCTCCGTGTATGCGCACTGGTTCAGGTAGGGCGTTTCAATCAATTGGAAGGCTGGTGTTTGTTTACAATTCAGGTTATTTATAATTCAAGGGTCGAAATTTGATCGTGGCGCCATCTAAGATAAAGATTCAACACCAAACAGCAATTTTTGCTGCAATATGGTGACTGAGTATCTAATCGGCCGACCAAAATTCAGTTCGTGGGAAAACCCAGAATAGGAAAACCTATTATCCACTGATGTTGTTGTACTATGTGTATATTGCCTACAGTCACGAAACTTGGTTTGGTTTTCTTTGCTTTTCCTAGCCATGCTGATGCGACCTGATAGTTCGAAACGCGTCTACGGATGGAAAAGCAGAGAAAATCAAGCCAAATATTTTCTCATCAGTTATTTATAATGTCATTTACTGTCGCTTGGATTGGGAAATGGTATAGATACCTATTTTTTTTTAAGCCTATGATACAACTAGGTACCAGATTCAACAAATGGTTATCAAAATTGTTTTTATTGAAGGGGGTTTGGGTTGGGTGGGCCACTTGACCATTTGCCCGGTGGGCCAAATAACCCCCAGTCCGGCACTGCTTCCTTAGTGTCCTGCTCCAGGTCCATGTGGTGTCTTTTCCCACCTGAACTTAAGCAGTGAAGGTTGTTCTGTAAATTGGTTTTGTAGGCTTCCCAATTGGTTTTTCTCGGAACCCTTCCTATGGGTCTATTGTATTTTACATTCTCTAGGTTCAACTCAATTATCCTGTGATCTAACAGGTATGGTTCGGTTGACACTCTCCAGTTTTTGATGAGTTCTTTAATACTGGAGCTGACTAAAGTTATATCTAATACTTCCGACCTTGTTTTAGTCATACGAATGTAGGCATAGTACCAGCATTCAAGACCTCAAGGTCGATGCCTACTGTAAGTACTTGCCATGAAATAATGAGCTTGACAAAGACAAATTTATGAAGGACACAATGTGTTTGACAAAGATATGAGTATCTCCATACAAATTAACAGACTTTTTTGATAAAAATGTTCATTTTATCGATTGTTTTGATAAACTATTCCATTGACGAAGTCAAAAATTAACAAATAACTAAATAAAAAAATCCAGAGCCGTATTTGAAAAAAAAAAAGATGGTGCCCAAATACGAAAGGTTGGATTTCAAATTTGACAAAATGTCATAATGTAGAGGAGAAAAAGTGGCAATGATGACGTGACGTGCCATTTGGGTTGAAGTATTTCTATAAATAAGCTCAGGGAAAAATAAAAACGATTTTGCAAAATTTCGGTCTTTCCAAATATCTCCGCGGAGCTATTCAAAATTTTCCAAATTTCGAAACGACATTTTAAGGAGCAAGAAATTGCATAATTTTGCCCCAATTTACCTGACCCCTTATTTTTTATGGTTACCGAGATCCCCATACCTACTCCCGAATCTGTAACACCCTGTATTTTGTATAGGGTGTCCGGTTATAATTTGACACCCCACTTGCAGCCTTGGCCTTCACAGATAGAAGAAAGGGGTAAATACAAAAGTTGTGGAGTTTTGGCTAAAATTCTGACACTAAATTTTTGTTTCTGACAATGAATTCTGTAGTGTTTTCCCCATACATACTATATACCATACTATTGTTGTAATGAAATTGATCATTTATATTATTTTAATAAAGACATTTATTTTATATCAGGTATCGTCATCCTAAATAATGATTCGGTTCGGCATCAAAGAAAGGTATAAATTTATTATATTGTCTAGACCTTTTCCAGCAAGAAGGATGTGAATTGTTAGTATTAAATTGTAAACCCTGCAGACTTTATGTGAGCAAAAAATACTGTTTGTAATTATTTTAAATAAAATAAACATTGTCCATCATAAACACCCAAACCTTCCAAGTATCCCGAAGGACCATTCTTTGAGATATGTCGCCAACATTTTATTGAGGGTTTTTCTTAGATTAAGTAGGTAATAGATTTTATAGCAATAGATTTTTAGAAGGGATGTCGAAGGAGGATTTTGGGAAGAGAGATCAGTCAAGAGACAACTTTCAGTCAGAGAAGACAGTTTTGGTTACACAGACATTTTTTGTAAGACTCTCTCCTCAAACAACTGCGTATCATTCTATAATAAAAGTATTTTAAACAGAAGTTATACGATATTGTTTCATTACGGTCGGTATTAACATTGTGTCGGTATTGTGATCACAACATTGGTTAGGTACATAGTGGGATGATAACAATTCTAAGAATGTAGATAAAACTGCACAACTTTTGTATTTACACCTATCATCTACCAGGAAAGGTGAAGGCTGCCAGTGGGGTGTCAAATGATAGCCAGTACATTTCCTCCATTAAAAACTACAAAAAAATCTATCTCCCTTCATAATTAAATTATTAGGATTAATCAACTAAACAGTATCATATGCAAAATGTGTTAATATTGTTATGTAAGCGGATTCGTAGATAAGTCAGACTACTGGAATAAATTTCATTCTAGACGAAAACACGAAAGTCACGACAAAACTAGCCCTACTACAACGTTTTCAATTAATTAAATTAAGTAAGCTTTACGATTCGCGAAACTATCATTGATCGCCTTACTATTGAATATCCAATCCGAAAAGTATTTTCAACTGATTTGCATGATACAGCAGTCGATCGATAAGAGTGATAAGACGGCACAGGGGCTTCAAGAAGCTATCTCTGTTATTTTATACATATTATTTTTTTTATCTGATTAGGTACAAATCATTTTTTCTAGAAGGGTAGAGGAAAAGCATTTCAGTCTCACTGATAAGGAGTTGTCAAATCAAAAAATTCCATTGCCTGCGATCAAGTTAATTGTTCTGCGTAGTGATAAGATCGTACACTACCGTTCATGGTCAAAGATCATATTCCAATATTTTGACTCCGAGTGAAAGTGAACAGGTTGTTTTTAAAAAGAAAACAGCGTCGTTAGAGCGTCTTGTATGGATTCAGTTAGTGGTAATTTGACGCAACAATGAGTAACAATAATAAGAACAGAAAACCAGAGTTCAGCAGAGCTGTGTCAATTAGAATTGGTAATAATTATCTTGTTATTTTTATTATTATTTAATTATTACTTATTGTAATTATTATTATCTATCTATAATAAAACTATAACTAATAAAGAGCCATTATTCTTATCAAAATAATTTTATTTCGGTATAACATTCATGGAATTATCACCAGACATAAAAATTTAATTTACATTTTTCGCTGTCGAAATGTTTTTTGATATGGGTCCAAACCTATTGCCCCATTCAGGAATGCAATTATTGAAAACGATTTACTATTGGGTACCTAATATTTTATTTTAAAAATAGCTCATCTCGCTATGAGCAGTTATTATATTGCAATTACCTAGATACTAAATGCAACTTTTTTCAACTCCCTAATTTTCTTCTTTTTTTCTTTTTTCTCTTTTGTTTAAAATTTTAAATTTTGTAATTGATCCCAGTAATCTCGTTGTAGGCTATAATTTTGTAGGTATTTTTTCTTTTTTTTTTTAATTTAAAAAAAAAACAAGCAAATGTTAGGATTATAATATACAAATAGAAATAAGTTTTTCTTTTGTTTTACAGGTGAACGTGCAAACTATGTCAACAGTCCTCATGTCATCGCCATGGTCGGCTTACCTGCCAGAGGCAAAACCTACATTTCCAAAAAGCTGTCACGTTACTTGAACTGGATCGGGATCAACACTAGAGGTAAGCATAGCAAAAACTTTACTTGGGGCTTAAGGCCAGCTCCTCTTCCTTTTTCTATAAAAAAAACAACCTATTTCCAAGAAGTCTTGGAAGCTGTCTTTCATTTTGGAATATACTCCATTGGCCAGAACAACTTCAAACACAACTAGCTACTTCATCACTTGAAATATTAAAGTGATTTTGCTATAATTTGTGGTGATTTGTACTGCAAAAAATAACATATTTCAAAGGCAATTTCACTGACTACCAGATAAAACCTGCCGTCCAAAACAAATCCAGTCGGATAGTGCTCAGGTTGTACTTAAGAGAGCACTGCAACAGGATGAAACTCAGAATTGGTACAATCTCAGTGTAAAGTCTTCTTTTCCGTTCAATGTAACTCAGTGGAGTGACTGGAAATCATGTCCACTGTGATGGATGTCACAAAGCCAACATCTCTTCTTTCATGGCTCGATTTTCCAGTTCAGAGTACGTCCTCATTCCTTAATATGTTCGTCCCACAATCTTGAACATCCACGTTTTGAAAAATGTGTTTCGATAGCCAGATTTATTAATATACATAATAAGTGGTGCTGTTCTTTCATTAAGTTTGCTGTATTTATTGGTTGAATTGAGATTTCGTCTTAATTGAATTCATCATTATTATATTTTTTCAGTGTTCAACTTGGGCGAATACAGACGACACGCAACAACGGCATACCAAAGTCATGACTTCTTCCGGCCAGACAACACAGAAGCTATGGCGATAAGGGCGCAGTGCGCAATTGAAGCTCTACAAGATGTCTGCCAGTGGCTAGAAAACGGAGGCGAGGTAGCTGTCTTCGATGCGACCAACTCCACAATGGAGCGTAGAAAAGTAATCCAAGATTACGTTGTCAATAAAATGGGTTTTAAACTGTTCTACGTGGAATCCATATGCGATGATCCTCAGATTATTGAACAGAATATAATGGAAGTGAAAATAAGTAGCCCGGATTATACTAATATGAATAAAGAAGCCGTTCTTGATGATTTTCTGAAACGAATCCAGCATTATCAAGAGAAATATTCCCCATTAGACGAAGAAGAAGAAAAAGACATTTCATTTATGAAGATTTACAATACTGGAGAAAAAGTGTTGGTGCACAAGCATGAGGGACATGTACAAGCTAGGATTGTGTATTATTTAATGAATATTCACATAACTCCCAGGACAATTTATCTAACACGGGTAAGATATCATTCTCTAAGTTCCTCTCTTCTATTTTATAGACGTAAGAATACCAAAATATTTATTTTTCAGCATGGAGAAAGCGAACACAATCTATTAGGCAGAATCGGTGGGGATTCAAATTTGAGTCAACGTGGTCGGCAATATGGTAATGCGCTGGCATCATACATTCATGAGCAAAAAATCGAAGGACTCCGAATCTGGACTTCTTGGCTGAAAAGAACGATTCAGACAGTCTCAGGATTAGACGTGCCCCAAGAGAGATGGAAGGCTCTAAATGAAATTGATGCCGTAAGAGTTTTTTATTTCTGTTCGATAAATATTTTTCATAAATGAAATTTCTTCCAGGGCGTTTGTGAAGAAATGACCTACGAGGAAATCAAAGAGAACTACCCCGAAGAGTTTGCTTCCAGAGACCAAAATAAATTCGCTTACAGATATCCCAGAGGAGAGAGTTATGAAGATCTGGTAGCTAGATTAGAGCCAGTTATTATGGAACTGGAAAGGCAAGGGAATGTGCTCGTGGTGTCACATCAGGCAGTGTTGAGGTGTCTCTTGGCTTATTTCTTGGATAAATCGGCAGGTAAGGCAGAAAAAATTGATTTATTCCATTATAAGCTTTCAAAAGCAAACATCAGCTTCATTATTTGCACATACAGAATGGATACAGACGCAGCCATTGTCAATTTCCATGGCAAGCAAAATATTAAGGGGTGTGATTTCTTTTCTCAAGAATTTGTGTTATAACCCTTCAAAATCCGCTTTCAATGGTAACTGTTGGTAAGCAGTGTATAAACTATCCGCTACTTCAAGCCTTCCTTAAACAGCCGAGTTGTATATCAGCTGAATATCAGATGAATCTATTTCCAAAACTGTAACCCCAAAAACGAGACACCCTCACTACAAATGGGTTTTGATGAAAATTCTGGCAGTATCCAGTTGTGATTTTTTTAATTATCTACCTATTTCAAGATTTCATTGGTAATGAAACGTTAATTTACATTTGTTTCAGATGAATTGCCTTACCTCAAAGTACCGCTGCACACAATAATCAAGCTAACTCCAGTTGCCTATGGGTGTCGTGTAGAACACATTAAATTGCCAATCGACGCTGTTGATACACACCGTGGCAAACCCAAGGTAAGCAAATTAGCGTAACAAATTCAACTAATTTGTATATTTCTTATATCCGACTAAAAAATTATATCCGTTACTGGTACAACTAATGTAAATTTGCTTGGCTCTCTCATCTTAGCGCGCTTGCATGAGACAAAATAAAAACAATTAAACACTGTTTCAGGAACCAGGCCAAGCATCTGGAGTAATCACTGCCAATGAAACTAATTTAAATAATAATCAATAATTAGCAAACTAATTTTTTATGTGTAAAGTAGTAATTTTGATGTAGAAACTGTGTATTATGCATGTCCCTCTTTTTGTACTCTAATGTTTGCTATTTTCTTGCCAGATTTAGACCTTAGATGAAAACATTTTAGAATTTGGTCTGTTTCATCTCTACTTAACCTTCCCAAATGCACTGTAGCCTATTAACATATCTTTATTGTTTTGTTTATAATGTGTTTGAGTGTGATTTACTTATTGCTATTGCTATGATTTTTATGTAGTTTCTGTTCATTTATTGGTTGTAAAAATGCTGCAATAAAATGTACTATTTTCTATTAGGAATACTCGCTGGTCATTGAACATAGGCGGAAATAAAAATTAATTTTATTATTTTTAAGGTTCCCGGTGAACTGGAGGAAAAGTTCAGGCTCAAGGATAACTTAAAAACAGATAACACGTCAACTTGAATTTGTAAAAAAAAGGGAAAAGTTGTGACTGAACAGGGTGCCTAATATAATGATATTTTGCGATCTGCTCTAATTGTGATTAAAATACAAACATTATTGGTTATTAGCAAACAAATTTATTAAATAGCTCTATTAACATCTAAATCAATATCAATTTACCTTCATTGACGTGCAATTTTGTATGCAAGAATATTTCAATATTTAAGGAGAAAGACTACTTATAAGGTTTATTTCAATTTACAAGACGATGTGAATTCTTTTGCTGTGGATTTAATAGGTATAATATAATAATAATATTTAGAAATGTGGTGTATATAGGTACTGTATCTGTTAATATACTATATTTTATATGTTTGTTTTTTTTTTTTTGGACCTACTATTGATTTTTATTTCAGGACAAAAACTTTTTTAGGTATTTAGCGAAGAGGTAATCCTTTCTAAAGCCTTTTTGTCGTCATAGTCTTCCACTTCTTCCAATTTAGAGTTAGTTTTCATGAAATCTACTCTTGCCTGTAACCGCTTGAAAAAAAAGCACACACTTAGAGCAGAATTTTCTTTTACGTTGAGCCATCTGAGCACCCTGTGTATCCAGCAGACACATGGAAAATCTGTGCACAGTGTTAAGTGGCGTGTTTGTCAACATCCAATAATAATTTTGGAAATAAACAGCAGATAATGAGAAAACATTCTGACTGTCTTAACAATGACACAACGCAATACTGGAAATGGGATTACGGCCCACATGATTTACGAAGGCGTAGAAGTGCTTTATATAAAAAAATAACCTACTTCAACTCGAAATTTTGAGAAATGATTTTATTATCTTTATTCAAAATGCTGATGATAACTATACAATGTGTCCAAGATAAGGAGGGCCAGTATGGGGATCTGGGAAACGGTAAGAGATACGACGTCGCTTAAATTAGAAAAAAGTTTTGTGCTTATTAAAATGGCGCTTTGAATTTTTAAAAATTCCGATTGCTACCGGAGATATCCAGAATAAACCGAAATGATTTTATTTTTTCCTGACCTCATTTGAAGAGATATTTCAAAATAAATGGCACTTCATCGTTGCCACTTTTTCTCCTCTACAAGATGCCACTATCAAATTTAAAATCTGACGTTTCGGCTTCGGACCACCATCATCAACTTTATTTTTTTAAATACGGACCCTGAATTCTTAAATGAGATTTTATAGGCTTCTGATGTCCCAAAACCGATGACGTATTGCACTTATTCGGAAAAATCATATTATTGGCACTTTCCATAAGAACTAAATGTGTTAGAGAGAGACAGAGAAAATAATTTTGATAGGAAATTACTAAAAAGTAAAAAAAAAAATATATTCAAACCCCCCCATTGAACTGAATAATTTTTTTTAAAGAAAAATAAACATTTTTGGGCGTGAAACCCGAAAAAAATTTTCGCCTTCGACAATATCCTCCGGCGGCTATGCCAGGTCATACCTAGACATCGTCTGGTCTAAAATTGAAACCCTTTCCAGCATATACTACGAGCCGCCACTGCTCTAAACCCCCCCCCCCCCCCCCCTCATGTAAAAGCTATAGCTGCGTCGTTGCAAAAGAGGTAACTTTGAACTCTCAAGACAAGAAAAAATATGATTTTGAGAAATTCTTCACATTTTCTTGTTCGGAAATACAGTTGTTATAAAACCTGATCTACCACCAGACTCTTATAGTGAATTTTGGGACTTCTTGATGTGATAACATTGGAACCAATTTTCAGAATACCTTAGGATAGCAGTACCTCTCATCAACAATCTTAAAAAACAGCATATATTATTCCATATTTCCCTAAAGAAATTGGCCCAGCATTAAAAAAAATATATATAAATATAAAAATAATAGCTATTGTATCTCTGAAAACTCTCACAGCAATATATTGGTTCATCATTATCACAAAGTGCAAGTTTAATGTCGAAATACTCGACACTTCAACTTTGTCCACTTTAATGAGTTTATGGCCGTTTCCACCAACCATTTTAGGGAAGCCCTAACGATAAGTATTCCCTAAAATGACATATTTACATGGAGAAATGTCAGTTTAAGCCAAGGCATACCTATCGTTAGGGCTTTCCTAAAATAGTTGGTGGAAATGGCCATTAATGTCATAACTTAGAATTTAAAAAGTACTGAAACGTAATATATAAGATTCACCAGATTGTCAAGATCTTGCGGGTTCCCAAAACTAGTATGCATTATTCTTTAGTTTTTTGTTAGTCTTTTATCTCCGCCTGCGGTTTGTTCTGATAAACAAATATTTGGCTCATTTTAGATCGACACTCAAAGATTAGCATGTATACAATCAGCATATTTTCGTGTCTTAATTAATTGTATCACTATCGCGTAAATCCTTTATAAGATATATCATATGTAGGGTCAAGTAAATATGTCTAAGATTATGTTGTATAATTCCATAAGACGTTGTATGTTGTCAAATAAAACCGAACCCAGTCTAGAATTTCTTTTGTTCCCAATTCGCCGCTGAACCACCTCTCCTTAATCTCGAATTCTGCTTCAGTACTTAGACTTTAAAAAGCTCTTTTGCATTGAGACCTTTGCCTAATCACATGTAAATAGCCTTTAATTAGATCTAAAAAAGGGGAATAAATGTTTTTGCTAGCGATAGGGTTTCACCAATATAAAAACCCTCCAAATTACAAATGAAATATCTCATTGAAACTACACACTACACAGTATACCAATGCCAACAAAAATACCACATCATGGCAAAGAAAAAGGTTTTATTATTGCTTTTCCCAGGAATGCTTGGGTTTGACCAGGAGGATCGGATGGCGTAATTTTACCTGGCTTTTTTTATGTGGGTATGATTTACGACTAGTAAAAAAAACAGCATTTGGAGAATTTCAAAGAAGAAAGAAAGACCCGACTAAGTTTTAAATATTTACCTACCTTCATTGCATGTTTTTTTGTTTCAGTTGGAAATTTTGGGATTGCAAAATATGTAAATTTCAGGTCTTCATCCAACCAGAAATATTTCACTCTCAATTGAATTTGAAGTTAGTAAAGACTTTGTTAGTACCAAACCAGCAGCTTTATGAAGTCAAGAAAAGAAATTGTAAACCATAAACACAAACCTATATTGTTTCTATCACAATAAAGCTGGATCAAATTGAGAGAAACAGACTCATCATACATTTGCACGCAGAAGCAGAATTTGGAGCGACATTTTATTAGCACATGAAAAAATAATAAATTCATCCAAATTCTGCCGCCTACTTTTCGTAATTTCATGCACAAATTACCTGCGTCCTAGATAAAATCCTTCATTTTATTTGTGTTTTATTGATTAATAACGAAAAGTTGGTACATATGCCACCAAAATAAGACACAATAAATGTTCAAAATCATTTATTAAAGAATTCATCTTCAATATGCTATAGCAGGGACGCTGGAAAATATTGATTAGTTAAATGATAGCGCCCCTAAACTTATCTCCCTATCAAATATAAAATTAAATATCTACACTTAACAATTATTTTGGTAGAAAATATATAAAGTCTAGGATTCCAGCCAGTAATATATAAGTTCACTCGTACCGAAACCCGAATGTACTAGGAAGAAGAAGAAAGTCTTTTATAATGGTCAACAAAAAAGTAACTTTCATACTTCCAACAAAATGTTTAATATAGGAATGAGATCCAGGACTGATTATTTTTCTATCTTTTTGAGTGAACGTATAAATCTCACAAAGGAATCCTAGAATGTGAAAATCTCTTCAAAAAGAGAAAAATTGAGAAAAAAATTAAACAATAAATAGGAAGTAAAAAAAAAAAAATTATTATCTATCTCTATACCAACGGCCTTTATGCCTCCGTAGCATCCGAGGTGGTTTTGTTGTAGGTGGGATCTTTCTTTGTGGCCTCCTTATCGCCTTTCTAACAGGAGGCTTAATAATTATTTTCTTAACCAGTAATGGTTCACAATTGTCTAATTTCTTTACATACACATAAGGTTGCAATAAACTATCCCTAATATCACTAGATTTTTCTACCCTGTTGCCATTATCTTGACCACATTTGTTTTCTCTATCATCTATGTCAACTTTCGGTTTATCTTCTATAATACTGTCACTAGTATCTCCATCGTCGTCAGATTCATCAATAGTGCCGCTTATTTCTCCTTTAACGACTTTTCGCTTCTTTGTTGTCGGCCAACCTGTTAAATTTTTCTTTCTTTTGCCAGGTTTCCTTCCAGGGGCCCCATTAAAGAACCTGCGACAACTATTTTCTTTTTCTTTTGCCTTATCTTCATCATACTTTTTAAAGATGTCAAGTACATTTGGCCTTTTCTCTAGAAAACTATCATCTGGTTGAGTGGTTGGAGTGAAATCAGTATCAAAATTAAGAGCTGTATTTAATTCTTCCTCTATTTGCTCCGCAAGTGCAAAATAATCGATTTTCTTTTTACGCTGCTTTTGAGGAGTGGCAGGTTTCTTTTCTTCAACCACAGATGGCACGACTTCTTCAGGGATTGTTTCCAGAGTTACAGAATCACTAGTTACAGTAACATTAGCATTTCTTGATCTTCTTATTCTTTGTTGGCCCAAACTACTTAAAATAGCCAAAGTGGAAGCATGTTGTCTAGGTGATTTTCGAGCATTTTTTGTAGCAGAACACAATAAACTTGGTGATATCGATATTTCCCTACCCCGTCTTCTCTTTATTTGCTTTTCAGCGACTGAGGTAATCTCTTTGATTTCTTCCGTTGTTGCAGCCGAGCCTGACGATATTTCACTTAATTTACTATCCTCGTCAGTGTGCTGTACTGGCGGCTCTAGAACAGCTACAGGCTCAGGAGAAGCTTCTAGAACATCCTCAGATTCTTCTTGGCTCTCGCGAGTTGGTTCAGGTTCTTGCATTGCTGTGCATATACATTTATGCAGGTGTTTGTATGCATTGTAGCAAACTCTCGGATCCAGTGGTCTCAGATGCGGGATTTGGTGAGGCATGACAAAATCATTCCAATGATCTGAAAAAAAATATATATTTAAAATTGTATTAGAAGCTTTTCATTTTACTCGCAAAAAAAATGCATAGAGGCAAATTGATGGTTGGTGGATTATTTGGATATTCATTTTATGATCTTATACTTACAATTTGGACAAAAATTATATCGTTGTTCAGCCCGGTCCTGCCTCTGGAACGTCTGATACCACTTTTCTTGTTCAGGTACCATTTCGAAGGAAAATGTGTACTCCTCCAAATTCACTTTCAGTCTTTCTTTAGTCTCTTTCTCCTTTTTGGTTGTTTCCCCTTTGAGCTCAATTTTAGCCTCGGTGTTCGTCAGGTCGCCGTTGCCTTTCGCAGAAGGAACAGGGGATAGATAGGAACCATGATATCGTAACCTATAAGAACTGAAAAAAGTTAAAAAGGGTTGATTTTAATTAAACAACGTAAATTGTACAACTTTTCTGAATGAAAATGGTGTTGGTAGAAGAAAAGTATGAAAAAAGCGCCAATAAAGAAAGTAGACTTGAGAATTTTGTGTGGTTACTACTTGACCAGTCTCCCTATTGAGTCTTATTTTCATTTTTGAAAGCTATTCTCTTCTTGCTTTTCCATAAAAGGCTTATAGAACATGAAGAATAATAGCTAAAACTGGCCTCCCTCTTTAATTTTATTTTTGTCATTCAAAGTTAAAAAAGGATGCTAGAGGCTTTTAATCTTTAAATCCATCAGTAGTGTAAACTGTGAGATCAAAAAGTGGCCACTGCTCAAATTTTCAGTTTTGCAAGAGATTCCCCTGTCAATAGTGCAAATGAATAAAAAAAAGAAAAAAGTTACAGTATGTTGATAAGCGAAAAATTGGATAATTTGGTCTTATGCCCATAAACTAAAAACTCTTACTGGGAAGTGATGAAATAAGGCATAAGAATTGTTAAAGAAAATGAATAGCAGAAAATTAATGGAAATGTTATTTTATCTATTATCTACCTTGATCCAGGAGTCTCAAATTTATAATATTTCTGATTATCCAGTATCAACGCCTCGGCATGACTCCTACGCTTTTTTTTTGTTTTGCCATCAGAAGATATGCTGTCCATGGAAGCTTCATCTTCAACTTTAAATTTTTCAAGAGGTTTACTGTCTTCAATCTCACTAATAGAGGTACCTAAGAAGGAAAAAAATATACTTAATATATGCTTTTAAAAAATTATGTATAGTCAAATTCATATTGGAATTGGAAAGTAAAAATAAAAATATTTATGCCTTAATATAGGCGTTAATTAGGACCACCAAATACGACAGACACAAGCAGATTGATAAGAATCACAACATAAACTGAGACTGCATCTAATTTACAGCCTAGTTTTATTCAACCTCCAGTTCCAACATTGGACCACTAACTTCACACATTTAAGACAAAAATAAAAAAAATAAAATTTCAAAAAACTTACCTTCATGACTTTCAGTTAGACTCGAATCTTCCTCCCCTTCTTCTGGTTCGGTCTTGATGTCTTCTGGTCCCTCTTCCTCTTGCTCGTCTTCGGACGATGATGACTCATCTTTTTTAGGAAACAAAAAGTTTGTTGCTTCATTATTTAATTGCACTAGTTCTGAAAAAAAAAATACCATTTACTTTTTGCATAATCCACTATAATTAAATCAACAAACATTTGGTTTATTGTTTTGTTTCAACTTTTGCAATAAATTATTCAATAATAATATTCTTTATTACCAGCACCATCCAATAAACTAACTAAATAGGTATTGTTTGTTGTGCCTATTGCTTACATTGCCATTTAAAGCTATATAGGTTATTACATTCTTTAACATAATTAGGTTATTCAATATACTGTTTTAGACCCTTATTGAACATACCATTTTGATGATAATTTGCATTTACTCTGTGTGTGTGAAAGTTATTGTTTAGTCTAGTGTTGTATTTATGGATATCTTTGACAAATGTACTAATAAATTTTCAGGATCCATTCCCGTCTTATTTGATAAAAGGAAGGGGGTTGAACAAATCTGGTGCGATTATGGCTATATGAACTGTTTATTTTGCCCAAGGGCCTTTCAAGGTTTCTTATATAATATATCCTAACAAATTCGCCTTTTTTGCTATTTTATTTGTACACATGTACCTACAATGTTCAGAAAATATATGATTCTCATCAATTATGCAACCTAAATACTTAAATTTACGTAAAGTCTCAATAACTTTATTGTGAATTTGTACATTTAAATAAAAATTCTTACCAGAATTCCTGAGTTTCTTGAATTTTACAATCAACTTTTTCTCTGAATCAACTGATTTGGATCCTTTCGCTTTACTATAACGTTTATCCTTTTCATTTGTCTTTACTTCTACCTTATAAAAACTTTCATTTTCTACCATTTGCTCCTCGGAGGAACTTTTTTTATGGTTTCTGTTGCAGTTCCTTTTTGGTCTTCCTGAGTCCCATGCTTTCAATTCATTGTCGGATGGTTTCTGAAAAATTATTATAAATTGAATTTTTCCTAAATAAACCATAAATATTATAAAAATTCTGATTGCAGTTATTATAAAAACCTATAATTTATGCAATAGTCAGAGTAGTAAGTAGTAAGTTTTTTTAAACATTTATAATTAGATGATATAAACTTATTTATTAAAAACTTCCAAATATATTAGAGAAACTCTCGCTAGTTCAGAGAATCTAATCTATTTTCATGCCCCTACCAAAAACTTACTGCCAATACTCTTGTACTAGTTTTCAACTCTCTATAGGCTCTATACTCAAGACATACCGTTTCTGGTTCCGAAGGTTTTTCCTCAAAACTGTCCTCTTCCAGGACATCCAATGGTGGAGACAAATAATTAACATGTTTCCTTGACCTTAATTTGTGGCCAGTGTCTTTTTCCAACTTTTTGGAGGACTTTACAATGTCAGTAACCGCAGACGAGGCTTTTTTCTTGGGCATAGTGCGACGTTTCCGTTTTGGGGAGAAATCATCAAAACCTAAAAAAAAAAGCTCAAATTTATTCTGACCTAGAGACTTGCTTTGAATTGAAATAAAAAACTACAGACAGTAACTAATTTTGCTACATTCCCATATAAAATTCACTATAACAAAGTCAACATGCAAATTAGCCAAAACGGTTCTTTAGTTTCTTAGCTCAATTATTGAGAACTTTTTTAAATTTTGTATAATAAATATGCCAAACTACCTAAAACAAAATCAACATGGGCCATAATCCAACAGCTCTTTCAATAATCTAAAATACACTGAAACTTTCTACACAAATGTGTTACTTGTATGTATATCAATTCTGACCTATTGCATCAATGCCAGTTAAACTCAACAAGGACTCGATGCCAACGTCACCGTTAATGGCACTATTCAATGCAATGTAGTTGGCATCTTCACCAATGAGTTTCTGATGCTTTTTGGACTGTATGTGATCTTCGATACTGTTGTAAGGTAGATTGCAAATGGCACAATATCCGGACTGTAGAATTGGGATTCTTTGTCTACGGATTCGGATGGGTTTTCTTGTCATTATACTCTCATCATTTTCAGTGGTGTCAGTGGCTGACTCAGATGTGGTGTGCTTTACGCTGCGATCCTGGAATAATAATAATAATAATGAATTTTAATGGCATTACCCAAGGCATTACTAGACCAAAATATGAAACTTCAAAGGGATTTTTGAAATGTACTACGATGATATATACCTACAAAAATTTAAAATTTCTCTTTTTTTTTTAAGTACTGAGTAAGTTTGATATGATCCAAATGTATATCAATAGTGCTCACTATAATATAAAGTTCAAATAATCTCGAAAAAAATCAACTTCTTTTAAAAGTAGGCAAGAGTGTTCACTTACTAGTTTCTTTTTTCTTCCCTCCAACATGGCATTCCTTGGCCAAATCTGAAAAAGGAAATGAGTACATACTATAATACTATCAATAAATTAATATTTTCTTAGGTAGTGCATTTTGATATCAACTATTTAGGTAGGTATCTATTATTTAAAAAAAATGTAATGACTGTGAAATAATACCTTCTTCATATACTTATTATCAAGCTTATTATCTACATAGTTGCAACCATTGATTTTTGAGATTTTCATTAATTGTATCCTACTACCTCAACTTTCCTCAGCTAGTTTGTTTTTTACTCATTTTTTTACCTGGATCCAACCTTGAAAAGTGTTCAGTTATTTCAAAAATCTAAAGATTAGGTTAATCAATCAATCAAAATATACTTTATTGTCGAAAAATAAATTTCATTGACAAAGCGTGATCTTTTAACATTTAGGTAATTAATTTCTACAAATACTTCTTAATTATCTTTAAACATGTCTGTAGTTGTAAAGTAAAAAGAAAAATATTCCAGATTCAGATGTTCCTGTGATGTATGAACTAATTTTAATAAAATATATTCCACAAATAGATACTTAATCGGAAATTTGCATACTAAATGGTCCTTTGGGATCCCCCGAACTCCATACAGTAAATTATTCTGAGATTTGTAGCCAGATTCTATGAAAAAAAAGCACTCAGAAAAATTGAAAAATTGATGAATCACCCCAAATTGCTTAACATGATTTTATTTCTGGAATTATAAGTCCAAATGATCTGAAATTTTCAGGGATTGTAGTCCTACACTGGGATAAGAATCGCTGGAAATTTCGCCTTTCTATCTTTAATAGAAAAAAAGTTACGACCTTTCAAAGTTTTCCAAAATCTAAATCATAAGGTAGCTACCTCACTACTAAAACGATGAAATTTCAAAAAATTGTGTTGAGATTTTGTGCCCTACTCGATTGGGCATTCAATTCAGTCTTTAAAATTTACATCTGAAAATAACAAACAAGTCTCCAAAGATACAGAAAGAAAATTTTCTTATTTCACTTAGCCTTGTCTAAAAACATATCTCTAAATCTCTATATTTTATAATAAATTATAAAATGTCCAATTAAGTATAATACTTATGATGACATTATTTTCATTAAAACAACTTTGTAGCAAACATGTTGCACAAGCGCTAACGAAATATGCTGATGTGGTGTAGTAGTTGAAAAGGAATGCAGACAGGGCAGATCATTCAGGAGCTTTTAATAAAACTATTAGTCTTACACAAAATATATACACACATCAAAATGGTCTAGGGAACCAGATAATCTCACAGATAATACCTACACTTATCAGTCATTTTTTGCCGATTTTATTTATAAAATATTTAAACTAAACAAGCTTGCAAAAAAAGCCAATACGGTAAATTTGATAAGATTTGTTCAATAAAATGATACCCACAAAAAAATGTTTTGTCTTAAAACTAAAAGACAGATATTTCTTGTTCCCTAGACTATTTTTAATACTAGTGTATATTCTGTACTTTCCCGTCTATCAATTATGTATTTAAAATAGCTAAGGAAAGTACTAGGGAAAGTACTTTTAACAGAATGAAATGCTAAAGATCTAGAAAATCTCATGCAAGATATTATTTGCCTAGTTCATTGTGTTGGCAATAGCAAAAAATAATCCATATAAATCAACCACATCCCAAGGATAAGATCAATTTAAATAGTTTAGGGTTACTAGTAAAAATACTTGCTCTCGGCAAAATATAATTAATAATTGTCAAAAAAAAAGGCAAATAAAAACAAAAAATAAACACAAATACATAATAGACTCTTCGTGTTTTATTGAAGAGTCTATATTTAGTTAGTCCAATGTATAATTAGAAGGCCTATTCATACCCTTCAAAAGTGAGCTAATTTGTTAAATAATTATGATGATTAGTCTGCAAATTGCTCTATTTCATAAATGAGAAATGAAAAAGACGACAGATTTGACATCATCTGATACATGGAAAGCAAAAAATTGTCTTGTAAATGCAAACTTTGAGAATGTAGAGTAAGAATATCAGAATTGTTTTTATAAAATATAATTTTAGAAGCTTAATCTTGACCTTCATATTAAATGTTTTTGGTTATTTTTGTTACTCGCTCTGTTACCGAGCTTGTTACTTAAGTTTACTAAAATGCCAATAATTATACACATTGTTAAAAAAGGGATTTCTCTCGGGATTTCTGCATTTTTTTTACATTCCCTAGGACAATTCCACCAGTCTTTAGAAATCATAGCGATTTTTGCAGTGATCTTGGAAATCTAGGCTTGACAAAAATTTGGCTAATTGTATTGTGGTGGATAGAGAGTTGGATTTTTGGTGAATATTTGTGTTTTTGGTGGAATGTTTACTTTAAATATAAAAAACTTTTTCTTAAATATTTGGTGAGAATCTCTGTTTTTTGTTAATGTGAAGAGTTTGAGTGTGTCAGTAAAAAAAAAATCTCCTAAATATTCTGGTATGATTTTCTGTTGGATGCTTGGTTGAATGGTTTTTGGGTTAATTTATATGGAAATATCAATTAAAAATCCATCCAACCTTTGTGACTTTCATCACAGTCTTGCAAATCGTAATGACTTCCAATAAATTATAAGATTTTCGCAACACAGTAAGGTACAGTCACGCACATTAGAAATGAGACGCCCAATTTTTCCCATTGTAAAATGAGCGATTGCTCACCAGCACATATCTGCAGCAATGACATATTACTCTATCTGCAAATATTGATTAAATACTAACACTTGAGGCCTGTTCCCACAGAAATCACAAACCAAACCAGTCAGAGCAAATTTCATTAAAAACGATCTGACTGGTTTATGATTTCTGTGAACCGACCTTAATTAGCAGGTAAAAGACTGATTTATGACAGGATTTGTCAGTTGGGTGTCCCAGTTTCAATGCACATTTTTGAAAGAGTATTTTCTCATGGGCTTCCCTTTCCAGTAGAAAGTATGAATCAACCAATAATGGCTGGTTTATACAACATTTGCTTAATCATAATCACAATTTTAGTCTTAGTCTTAAGAGTTAAAACAATAATTTCTTATGGAACCGTTTATACGAGAATCACAATCATAATCATAAGCATAACTTGGTTGGCCTTGAAGTTCCTAACTTTTAACTTTTAGGGCTATGATCAAGACAAAAATCAAAAAGCGGAAGCGCAAAATTTGTCAGCTGTTCCATTTCACACAAGAATTTTTTAAATTTTTTTGGTAATTTCTAATGCCGGTTTTCCACCAAACCGACAAAAACAAAACTTAAACTCAGACAAAACTCCAACTTTTCCCAAACATTTTCAAGATTAGCGTCTTTTGCCACAGGTGGAGTTTTGTTTTTCGGGTTAATTTCGAGTTTTAAAACATGTTTTAAAACAAAAACTCAACAGTCTGTTTGGTGGAAAACCGGCATTACATATTGTTTTAGTTTTGTTTTTGTTTATTTTTTCAATTTTTGTGAGCAGGCCAAATTGATTCTCTATTGCCACAGCCATAAGTGAGGCAAAGCTTAGAAATAAATAGGAAAGAGCTATCACTTTTGTATATTTTTCTCTTGAATAATTTTGATAATTTCAACTCTTTGCATTTTGAAAAAATAAACAAAACTGTAAAAAGTAAGTATAGAACTGCCAACTGAATCCACAAAAAGTCCGATTAGAGTTGATTTTATTTTATGCTTATGACATTGTATAAACGCCTTTTAAAATTGTGATTATGATTAAGACTAATGGCAGGTTTATGCAACATTTGCATAGTCATAATCATAGACATAATCACAGTCTTAATCATAAGCACAATTTTGAATGCGTTTATACAACATCATAACTTTACATAAATATAACACTCAACCCAACTTTTTGTAGAGAGAGTTTGTTTACTTTTTGCGAATCGAATTCAGTGCATTTACTTTTTCAGAGTTTCAAAAAGTGTGAAAATGTAAATTCTGCGAATGAAAACCATACAAGTGATAGGTCTGTCTTATTTATTTTTGAATTTTGCTACTTATGGCTGTGGCATTTAATAAACAACTTCAACAAACACAAACCATAGACAAAGAAAGTGGAAAGTGAGGCCCATCAATAAAAAAAGGCAGAAGGAAGGGCATTTTGCCACATTATTCAAAGACATGTGGAAGCTCGATAGAGACCAATTTCTTGAATACTCTAGAACTTGCTCTAGAATGACTCAAGATCAATTTAAATATTTATCAGATTTGATTGAAAGTGAAATTCAAAAAGATAAAATTACCACAGAACCAAAATGGCAGATTGGAATTGTTTTTCTCTGTACAGGGCCCCTCAGACTAGGATGAAACACAACGGTTTTCATCGCCACAATGAAACATGTCGTTCCAAAACCGAAGTGTGTGGTAGAAAACCGTCGTGTTTCATCGTTGGTTTAAAATTCATTCCGAGCTTGACTTTTGGCACAACGGTTCAACATTTCGTACACATGAACGGTTTTCTACCACACACTTCGGTTTTGGAACGATGTGTTTCATCATGGCTATGAAAACCGTCGTGTTTCATCCTAGTGTATGGGGCCCCTAACAGCTGATGATGGCGCTTGCGCAGTTTGGATCTTGTCTTAGTCATAATCATAAAAGTTAAAAGTTGCGAACTTTGAGTTATGCTCTTGGTTATGCCTATGCTTATGATTATAATTCGTGTATAAACAGTTCCATATGAAAATATTATTTTAACTCTTATGACTAAGACTATGATTATGATTATGACCATGCAAATGTTGTATAACCCCGCCATAAGACTGTTCGTATTGGATATACCCACTAATACAAATTGTAAGGGCAAAATGTGGAGAAGGCCTAAAAAATTAATTAAGAATATTATGAAAACCAGTTGTCTGCCAAGTTGCGAGCAAAAATAGATTTTATTTTAAATTTTATAAAATTTGACAATAATTCCATAAGTAACCTAAGTCAGTGCTTTTTTGTGCTAATTAAAAAAGTATTACAAAGAAAGCTTTAACATTGATGTGTTATTATTAATTGTGAAGAAACTTCATATTTTTTTATTTTTTTTTGGACAAAGTCACAAGTAATTTATCAGTACTCTAATAATTATTGTTTAAATCTGAAATTCAATTACATTGACAGTTAGTAGCTACTTAACTATTGGCAACACTGCCAAGTAATTTTGGCAAACATTTTAAAATAGACAAAAACAAAAATACAAATAATAAACTTTGTACATTAATTGTTATTATGATTTATTGATATGATAATAGACTGAACAATAATCTTGATATTAAAAAAGTTTCACATCATAATTATTGAAGTATGTGTATAGGAGCAATCAAAACAATAAAATGTTTGCATCCTTCTGCATTACATGCAAAGATGACTCAAATTACCAAAAATAAAACTCGTCAACGTATACTTACATAACTAGGAAGGGCAATATTGAACTAGCATAACATTCAGCCAGGGTTTGAAGTTACTTTTCAGTCAGAAACAGGCTGCAATTTCCCAATAAACTTTACGGTTTCGAAACGATATCTACATAGAAACCACACCAATAAACATCAAATAAAAACAGTTTTAAACAGGAAAAAGTCTGACACGTCGATACAATGAACACGGGGACTTGTCCTGATAGAGTTTTTAGACTGCGGAACGGCGGCTGAATCCGGACAAAGCGAACAGCTTCAATAGAAACGCAAACTCGGCCATTTTCACTAGGCTTGCCTTTTCTGTTACACGCCCTAAAAGCAGTTATTTCGAGTCGAGCGACGTTTTTATTAGGTACTATGTATAGCGAAAAGCTGCCTCACGACTTTAACACAACTTTTGCATTATTATAAACACAATTTTATGCTAAAATTTTAATTTAAAATCGGTCAAAACATTTCACTTGCATCGGACACCATCAAACCACAAATTGAACCATCGTCGAATGTGCGGTGCTGCCAAATGTTGCTTCAACCATTTTATAAAAGATTTGAATTTATTTTATTTTTACGTATGTTTTAGATATTGAAGAGCATTTTATATATTAAATTTTTTTATATTAATGCTTAGGTATTGCCAGATATTTTCATTATTTACTTGCAGACAAATTAGCAATTATTTTATTGTGAGGGGATCCTGTGAATTTCATATGTTTGGTACTTCGTGGCAACAATGTTGAAAACCCCTCAAAATATTTTTCCAGGTGCCAACACAGAAAATCAAATCAGATCGGAATATCTCCGTCTCTCTTTAATCAAGGCTGCTAAAGAGAGAGGAATATGTCCGTAGTATCATATCCAAATTATATAAATCGATAATAAATTTTCTGTTTTCGATTTTTTTAATTATTTTAATTATAATAGATATCGGATATCCATAAATTGCAGTAGAAACATTATCAATTTATATAATATGGGTTTTGCAGGCTCGTTATGTTGATAAAGATGCATAACAATTTTAAAACCTTTTAGTTCTTTTCACGTGGCTCCGGTTTAACTAACCGGGTTACAAAACGGTTAGAGAAAAGACATACCGTTTTCTAACCCGATTACAAAGTGACGTCGTGGATACCTTCCACCTACCACTCGAATTTGAGCGGTATGTTGCGGTTTGTTAAACCGGAGCCACGTGAAAAGGGTTTTTGGTTTGTTCGTTTGTGAGACCCCAAAGGCGATTTCGGAAATGCACTCTGGGTCTGTTCGAAAATATTGACCGTTTTATTGTTAAATTTGAATTTAGGGAAATAAACTAAACGGATTTCCCTATAATAATCATATTTTATTTATAAAAACAAATTAAAGGCACAGGCGCCACAAAGCAAGACCAAAACAGTTGTAGTTGCTAGTTTGTAGCAACTTAAGGCTGGTTTACACTTTGATTAGTTATAGTAGCAAGTGCAGGTGTGTAGTGCTAAGTGTTTAGTTGTCGAACTGTAAACGGATCAGTCAAGTGATAAGTGCAAGTAAATCAAATCGTGTTCTATTTTTCTGTTTAGTAATAGTTGTATTCCTTTCAAGAGTTTAGAACACTCGTGCCACTCGCTTCGGTGTTAATCGCCCCCGATTTGAAAGGAACAGATATAACGATGCAACAAACATATTTCGAAAGGACTGGACGCGTAACGCCCCGGAGCTGTTCCGTTCCGGAGCTCCTCCTAGGTGTGAAAGGGATACAACTAAATACTCAACGTGTCAAATTAACATTTGACACTAAACACTTGCAGTTAACAAGATGGCTGTGTTTAACGGGACATAGCGTAAACCCGCTAGCGCTGAAAGCGCTAGGACTAGGAGGCGCTAACTGTAGCCGTTAAAGCAGCGTTTTCCTAGCAACGCACATTTTACGCGGCGTAGAACGTAATACGGCCGACGCAACGCAACATCTAATGCGCTGCGTAAAAGTGTTTTCCTAAGCTTGTCAGTTGCGTCCCGATCATCGCGATAAGTATATCAATAAAGAAATTAGCTTTGGCGAATTTCATTGGTTGAAAACAGTCAGAAACAGTCAGAAAACTAGTTTCAACCAATGAAATTTACTCTGACTGGTTTGTGATTTCTGCAGGAACAGCCCTATTATTACAAGATGAAAATTTGCAAGAAGAGATTGATATAATAGCCACGATTCATGATAGGACTAGAAATTCTGCTAGTTAATTATTTCAAAAAGAAGAAGCTAAGGAGCATTTAGAATACTTATCCATAAACATCTGCTCGACGACGAAGTAAAATTTGAAAAGCATATTTTAGAGTTACAAGGCAGCAATTCTCATTTCTCCTCGATTTTGTGAGAAAAGATTTAAGTAAGAAATCATGTAATCGCGTGCGACATCTTATTTCGCCACCTGAAAAGCTTGGCCTAACATTGAGGTATATAAATATAATACAACAGGAACATTTTCCTCGCCAACACGCAGCGTACAACTGAATAGACTGCTCTCCGAGCAGTCGTTCAGTTGCGTCGACCGTATTACGCTAGCGCAAGTCGTTTTTACGCAGTGTAGGAAAACGCTTCCATTTGATTTTCGTTAGACATGTCCTCAGCGTTTTACGCCGACCGAATTACGTTCTATGTCGCGTAAAATGTGCGTTGCTAGGAAAACGCTGCTTAAACGACCGATTTATGTTCCAATAATTTTTCTAAACCTTCTAAACTTTAAACATAACCTAACAAAAGCCTAATTAAGAATTATGTGTTTAATGACATCGGCATTTCCATAATTTTGAATATTCATGTCAAAAATTCAAAAATAAAGCAGCTCCCACCAATATCAACCAAAAACCAAAAGAAAAAAAATGTAATGTTAGGATATATTAGACATTTATGACATTTCATATTAGCGCTAACAACAACTAACTAAAAATAGCACTTTTCAAATGAGCTAAGTAAGCTGACAGGCGCTTTTGCGCTAAGTAGTCGTTTATCGGTCACTTAGCCGAAAACGCTTGCAAGCGCTAACACCCGCTAAGTCCCGTTAAACACAGCTGATGTAAACCGGCCTTTAGCTAGCAACATGTAGTTATGCAACCATTTGATACACCTCTGCCACAGCCACTGCTTTTAATCAACCGTCAACCACTAAGCTAACTTTATTTTATTCTTAAAAAAAGGTGCAAAAAAACAGATTATTTTTTCGTTCGAAACTGCTGTTGTGTTGTGTCGAAAAGCCCCTTCAATTTACCACCTACGAGCCAATAAGTACCAGTACTAAATCTGCATTTCCATTTCTTGAGTAGGTACCTACTTGAATAGAGGTACCTAAGGTAGGTACCAACGTGCTCATAAAAAGCCCCTCGTAATTAATTATTTGGTTTATTGCAGCAGAAAAGACAACTCAAATAGTATAGAATAAAGGAAACAACATGTGGACACTGGACTCGGGACTGGACGCCTTTTTTAATTCGAATAATAATCAACTTTTGTCATAATGTATCTCATAAAGAAAGCATGCCACTTTGGAAACAGTATTTATGAATCTGGTTCAAAACTTTGTAAACGTAGATGGCAATAGCACAGTTCTCCTGCCTCCTGCACATCTTCTTTTTGTCTGTCTTCGAGATTTTCTTTTGGGCCTTTCCGACTTTTCTTAGCTTTACTACTAGTCTTTGGATCATGTTTGTCAGTAACCAAGGACCAGGACTAGAGCTACAATATTTCAATGGGTGCGTATATAGTACAGGTCGGGGTACAGGTATAGGGCATGATCTGATATTTCGTACTAGATTAAATGCAAATTTAAGCAGAAAAAAAAAATTCAGTTCCCTCAAAAATTGAAATTTTTAGCGACTCTGAACATCAAAAAATGATCAAATTTAAGAAAAAATGTGCAACTTTGCCACATTGCAATGGAACATCTTTTTCAAATAACACCTTATAAAATTTAAATTATTTTTGAGTCTCATAATGCTCGCTTCGCTCGCCAAATCTCAAAGTGAAGATCCTCGGAAACATAAATCCACCAAAAACGCGAAAAACCATTTTTAAATAACACCTAATTGATATTTAAAACATATAAAATTTAAATTATTTTTGAGTCTCCGAATGCTCGCTCCGCTCGCCAAATCTTAAGGTGCGTTTTAGAGAGAAGATCCTAGAAAACGTAAATCCATCAAAAACGTGAAAAACCTTTTTTTAAAAGCACCTTCTTGTTTAAATTATTTTTGAGTCTTGGATTGCTCGCTCCCCTCGCCAAATCTCAAAGAGAAGATTCTTGAAAGCGTAAATTCACCAAAAACGTGAAAAGCCTTTTCTTTGTTAATTTCCTAGCCTACAAATGTATTTTAATAATTACTGGTGTTTCAAATAAGTTACTGTACACCTATAAAAGGCAAACAACTGATAAAATATTATGGTTTTATTGAATCTTTATGGAAAAAATGACAAAATTACTGTCCGTAATGTCGACCGTAGCCCATTTTTGTTTTTGACAATGGATTCTAAAAATTCAGCTAGAACTGCACAACTTTTGTATTTATACCTATCACCTCCCTGTAAAGGTAAAGGCTGCAGGTACGGTGCAAAAATATATAGGAAAACTCTGTACCTTTACAAGCTAACTTTACAATGTACTACGACTGAAGGTAACCATTATTTATTTTCATGATTGAGCATGTAGCTAAATAAGTATTATCACGCTTTGGTATGTGTTACATAAATCTTGGGTTCGTTTATTCGAAAATCAACGTCCAATTAACACAACAATAATTTATTCCACGTTACTCTACACTCTGACACTAATTACTTCAATATAATTAACTCAAACAACTAAACTCTTTACAACTCTCAACAATAGTCACTATCTAACTCATATTACAGTCAATCTTAAACTTAAACTACTAACTAACACCGTCCTTTATATATTCGTAAATGTATTCAAGTAAAATCTAGAATATATATAATATATATAATAATGTATTCACTCATTTGTAAAAGATATAAGGTTTGTTCCAACCTGTCAAAAAACTGTCCATCCCAGAACGGTTTCGGAACCACTCTGTATACGAATTTCGGTTTCTACACAAAAATTTTAGGATTTGCGCAGAATACCGACGGTAATGTTACGGTTTCTTGCTGGGTTGGAACAAAGCTATAAGTAGGGAAAAATTAAAAATTAAATTCATACACAACAAAATTTTAAAATTGATATTTTTTCCTTGATTTTTCCTCATAGGTACAAGCCTTGGTAGTTCGTATAACTCTATGAGAAAGAATTAAGTCTTTGTTTCTATATATATAACAAACAAAAAACAGATTGCGAATGAATTCAATTCTTATTTTTGTAATATAGGAAAACATTTGGCAGGAAAGATTACTGGAGGCGCTCGGAATCATGGTGTGAGGGAGAGGAGGAGTGAAAACTCGTTCTTTTTGAGTCCTGTGACAAGTGATGATATAATTAGAGAAGTGATGAGCCTTAAGAATGGGGTAAAGGGTGGAAATGATGCTATTTCATCTAATGTAATAAAAACTTTTAAAGAAAATCTCAGCATTCCGCTTAAGCACATAACAAATCTATCATTTGCTGCTGGTATTTTCCCTGATATATTGAAAAATACTAAAATCATACCCTTATACAAGCAAGGTGATAAAAAATTATTAAATAACTATAGACCAATTTCTTTGACTAGTACAGTGAGTAAAATCATTGAGAAATGCTTTAGGAGAAAATTAAACACCTTTTTAGAGAAAAATTGCCTTCTCAACTCAAATCAATTTGCTTTCAGGGATCATGCAAATACTGAAAATGCTCTTGTAAAGGTTACAGAAGAGATACTTAAAAATCTAGATCAGGGGAAAAAAGTGGTAGGGGTTTTTTTGGATTTGAGAAAAGCGTTTGACACTGTGGAGCACCAAATTTTATTGAAACGATTAGAGAGTGTGGGAGTCAGGGGTATTCCAAATAACTTTATTAAGTCGTATCTGGCTGAGAGGAAACAAACCACAGTTGTCTCTGGACAAGAAAGTAATGCATTGCAGGTAGAATTTGGTGTGCCACAAGGTACAGTGCTCTCAACTTTGTTATTCAACATTTACATAAATGGCATAATGGAGCAGCTTGATGATGAGAATATTAATACCTATTGCTTTGCTGACGATACAAGTATTATAATAAGTGGTAACGACTGGGGAATTACTAAGCTAAAGGCAGAAAAAGCATTACAAAAAATTAAGAACTGGTTGGATGAAAGTTTACTTTCCCTTAATGTAGAGAAAACCAATTTTGTGGCTTTTTCGCTTTCCTCTCGCTCACTGCCGGATTTCGAGTGCATCAAAGTTCATGATTCAAAATGTGATTTGGGCCTACATTGTGAGTGTGATATGATCATAAAAAGAAAGTCTAGCCTAAGATACCTTGGAGTTATTTTGGATGAAAAACTAACTTGGAAAGAACATGTTGAGTATATAACTGCAAAAGTAAGGAAACTAATACACAAATTCTATGAACTAAGAAAAATGCTTACATTAAAAACGTTAAAGACAATTTATTGTGCGTTAGTGGAGTCCATGATAAACTATGGTTTGGTGTTGTGGGGGAATGCAGGCACAACAACACTATCAAAATTACAGGTATCCCAAAGATGGATTATAAAGACTATGCTGTTTAAGAAAAAAAGATATCCTACAGCTCTTACTCACAAAGATAGTAATGTTCTAACCATAGAACAGCTTTATTTAAAATCAGTCCTGAGATTCATGATAAAGAACAACTACTACAAAGAAAATTTAAAACACGGACAAAATACAAGAAGTGCCACTCAAGGAAAGGTTGAACTGCAGAACCCCAAGCACACAGCCTGTCAAAATCACATTTACTGTGTGGGTCCAAAGGTTTACAATGACTTACCTGATAGCTTTAAACAAAAAACATATTGCAAAATTAAAAAACCCTTAACAAAATGGATTGTTGATAGTGGATATAGGATTAATTATGTGATATAAAAAGTACAAACAAACAATTATTGGTATATTTGAAGATAGGAAGAAATTTATTGTACAAAGAAATTACATCTGAAATGTTGAAATTGTTATTTGTTAAATTGTATTAAAACCTAAAATATTAAATGAAAGTACAAACCTCAAAATAAAATATTTTAAATGAATTAAGTTTAATGGGGTGCACACACAGTATTATAAATACCATTGTGCATCTAATAATGTTAGCAGTATTAGGAAATTGTATTAAGATTGATATAACTATGTGTAGGTATTGCATTAAATTTTTAAGTAAATTAAATTTGAATATTTTTATCTCAAGTACATAATATGTCTACGATTTGTATATCATAGAATTATAATTATATTGTAACTATTGCTATTGCTAATAAATAAAATAAATAAAAATAAATAAATAAATAAATATAGGTTTTCTAAAAGATTTTCATTTTACAATTTTTTTCCAGAAATGAATATGCCAGAAGATATTATTAATGAAGCCGCAGTCGTAGCTAGCAATTTATGACCAGAAAAGTTTTCCAGAAGGTACTAGCAATTAAGTATTCTTATGATAAAACTGATTTTTTAAAAGTCTCCTAATCTATGTATTCACATAACTCTATAACTCTCAATTCCCTGTACAAAGTATCTGCATGTATTAGTCAACCATAATTAAATAATAAATCCAAAACCTTATTGTGTAGTATTTGAACTCTTTGAAAATGCACCACAAATATCCCATTTGCCAATATTTCCATTAAAATTTGAACAAATCAGAATAAATAATACACTATTAGAAAGAGCAATAAATTCTCTACAGATCTGTGGTAAATTGAGTTTGATAGCTAAAGTGATTTTTGACCAATTGAGCCTCAAAATTTAGTCAAAAACGTTAAACTCAATTTTTTTAAAAACTATTCCTGAAAATTTTGATTCAATATCTCTCACGGATTTGAAGATATTGAAGCTTTTGGAATAGGAATCCAAAAGCGGCAACAAAAAAATCGAAACTTTTATTTTTTATATTTCTCGAATTTTGAATTTTCAAATCGAAAGAGCGGGTCTAAATTAGTCAAAAAATTCGAGCAAATCAGAATAAGTTATACACCATTGAAAAGAGCATTGAAGTCTCTATGAACCCGTGCTAAACTGAGTTTGATAGCTCGGATACTTCCTAAGCAATTGAGCCGCAAAGTTGAACATTTTCAATTAACCAAAAAATACCCAAACTGTTGCTCGACCCTGCTTTGAGTAAATTGGAAATTTAACCTTTTTCTAAAAAAATCTTCTTATCGATGATTTCAAAAGCATATTTTAAGTATACAATTTAACACGTTTTACTAATTGTCATATTAACCTTGGTGTCTATATCAGGTATCATAAAAAGATACCTAATAGTTATTAAATGTACATTTATGTATCATATTTATTATAACAAACTGACGAGATACAAATAAATGGGGAATGTTTACAACCATCACGAATGCTTTTATTATGCCTTTTTAATGGAACCATATTGACTTTTAATGATCCCTTTTATAGTTTCGAGTTAGAGGTTTCTCTTCCATGACATATTTTTAACGATAATGGATTTAATTTTTCTTTTGAAATTTTTCACCCTACAAAAATAACTGGAAATCCAAATAAAATGAAAGAGAAATAAGTAAAACTTCAAATTTGGATAATGCCTTAGTTAAATCCGTGAAACACGAGGTTTATTTCAACTAAAAATTCTAGCAATAGCCATACAATGTGAGAATTAGGAAGTATTCTAAGGGCAACTCACGACATAAAATCTCAAAAAGAAAAGCTTTAACATCATTGTATACTGTTCATTCATTAATAATTACATGTAAACTTGAACTTAAATGGTCAAACCGAAATCAGTTGCTGATGCCATGCCATTATAATATCACACGAAAATTGATGATCCGGAGTCAACAGGATCAGCTTCCGGATTATCAGTTCAGTCAACCATATTTAAATTTTGAAACCAATAGTTTAGACTTTTTATGCCCTTTTGGTTCATGGTTATAGTCACACCTGTCTTTTCTTTAAACCTAAATTCTGAAAACCTTCTAAAAAAAATATCACAACAAAAATGACTATGAGTAATTGGGAAAAAAGTTTATTGTAATTTTTTTTACAATTATTGTATGTAAATAAACTTGGCAGTAAAAACAAAACCAGATTTCAAATTTTAGACCTACTGATATAGGCATTCGGTAAGCGGTTATATAATATAATATATGGACTGGAATTTTTGATTTACTAAGGTACATAAATTCGTTAGTTATACATTTTTTGTAAAAATTGTTATAAAAAAATTAACAAACTATAAGTTAGGTATACATTTCGCAATTAAAAAAAACTCAATTGAGATAAATATAGAGCGCCTCAATGATATGTGTCGATATTACTTAACTAAAATAATTAAAAAAAGGTAATATAACTATCTCTATAAATTAAAATACATAAATAGTAATTTCACAAAGTGCATCTTCTTCACAGTGTGGCGAATCTAGTCAGAATATTTCCAGAAGACATACAGTACAAGCATTAGAAATGTGCCTTTACACGATTGAATACTTAATAATTGTATCTACTACTATCCGGAAAATGTTCTGATTAAATCAAAATATTTTTTTAAAAATTGAAATTATAGGGACAATTATTTAAATACGCACGAGTCTAAACTTTTGAAATCTGTTTCTCTTATCCCTATAACACTTAAAATAGTTCTTAAAAAATATCATATTCTACAATGTAAATAGGTATTTATCATTATTTATTATTATTAGATATTAATATATTCGTGTAAAGTTCACGTTATTAGACTTATTATTTTTCATCTCAGTTTATCGACTATTACATTATTTTAACTAAGTGACGATTGAGTCGGGTGCTTTTGTTCAAAAGTAGCAACATTAACCAGCAGTTTCCCAATATCGCCTGCAAGAATGGGACTTAATAGGAGTGGTGTTTAGAATTAAAGAATGGACTATAAAAATTGCAATTAACATGTACGAAAACAAAACATGCCAAATTTATGATTGCTATTTTAAAAATCAACCTGGCACATATAAAATAATGTCCATGGGATGAGGCTTACATTTAAAACATGCCTAAATTGGTAATTAAATATCTCATTAAAAATCGCATGTGTGAATTTTTGGTTATTGTGCTACTGTTAAAACAAAAACACTGACATAATTAACTCTAATATATTTTTTTTACAAATTATACTTAGGTCATATTTACAACCAAGGTACAAAACAGGCAGAACAATCAATAATAATCAGTATTTTGAAACAATATTACAGGTATTTAGTGTTTGACGAAATTAGATGCAGACCTCAACACATTATCATATTGAGGCCGCAAGTAATGAATCTGTCCCAACTTTGTCTATAAGCCTGTTAGGGGAACTTTGCAATGTTTAGCAAGATTGGAACAAATTTTGAACTATAATAGTTTATGGGCAACAATTTTTAAAAAAATATTTCAACCTACTTCATCTGGAAGAGCTATGATTGTTTTTTTTGCGGGCGCTAAATATTATAATCAGTAACTTTCTTTACTTCTTTTTTTTAATTAAGTAAAAAAACTACCTACCTAATTTTCCTCCAACAACAAGGGACAAAAACAATAACAGTGTTTCATTTAAACATGGTATACGGTCCAAGAGTTGTAAGTTTCATCGGAACCTTATCGAAAATTCCCATTCTGTGCCGTATACCTCGCACTTTTGTTACCAACCGACATGACTGACAAACCAGGGCCAGAGGAAAGATATCAGGATCCCGCCGAAGATGCCTGAAATCAGTGCTGCTCCTGCAAACATTCCAGCTATTGAAGCGTGATGGCTTTCAACAGTACTGAAAAAAAAAGATTATTGTTTTTAATATTTTAAAAATTATAAAATTAAGAAATATGGTGCGCTCTATCAGCAGAGAAGATACGACATGGGCGAGTTCAAAGGAAATGAAGACTTGGAGAAGTTTCGTTATGATTTTTGTGTTATTTTCTTGAATGAAGGTAAATTTATTCTGGCAAATCAGTCTCACTTCACTAAAAATAAATCCCTATTGAATTCTAACAGTTGTCTCTTGGCAATTTTTGCAACAATTGCGAGATGATTTATTGAAACAAGTGTTGTCAAGAATAATTGCTACATATACAATTAATTGTGGATCAATTTCTCGCTACAAACGATTTGGACCTTATTTAAAATAAGCAAAAATATCCACTTTACTGGAAGTTGGACAGAGTCATCATTCTGCGTGCTAGAAAAAATCAAGTAGTCAGAGTTGTCGATCATAGAGACCAACCGCTAATTGATTTTCAAATGTAATTCAATTATTGGAATTTCAAACCAATTAAAATCAATAATTTCTTACCTAGGTGTATACATCATTGCCAAAGCGCTCAAATAACCACTAGAAATGGCCATTGTTGCTGCAACAAACCAATAAACGTAATCGTTGGTTACCAGCACTGGCAAAATTCTACTATTGGGCAAATAGTTGCAGAATAAGTAGAATGGGATGTAGAGCAACCTTAGAGTAACTGGAATCCAGAGGTACTTCTTTGATGGCTAAAACAAAATTTGAAATGGAATAGAAACTATTTTCCTAGATCATGTAAAACTCACCCAAATGAAAAAGGTTGGAAGAATGCTGCCTATCATGGCTCCGACGTTGAATGTCAAAAAACATAAAACTTGTTTGTAGAGGAATTCATCTTGTATAAAAAATGTATCACTGCTGACTTTGATATCTGAAAACAAAAAGTAATTTATAGCGCAACTTGACGGATAACCACCCTCTGAAAAATCTCATTTTACTTTAACGAATTAATAATTGGATTTAGTGAGAGAACGGAATTGATAGTTAACTATACAGGGTGTCCAAAATAAGGATATCTATCTTAGGGATTTCGTAAACGGTAGCAGATACGGCAATGGTTAGATGGGAAAAAGGTTGCGGAATTTAACGCTCAATAAAACGGTACTTTGACATTTAAAAGATTCTGAACAATTTCTGCGATATCCCTAAGAACCCGAAATTTTGCAAAATCGATTTTATTTTTTCCTGAGCTTATTTGAGGAGATATTTCAAAATACATGTCACTTCATCATTACCACTTTTCCGACTCCACAAGATGACATTATCGATTTTGAAGTTTGACATTTTGTCTTTAGGCCACCATCATCAACTTTATTGTTTTAAATACGACCCTGGATTTTTTATTTCAGATTTTAAGCGCTTCTGATGTCCAAAAACCTATCACGTCACATCAAAATTCTCTTCTCTATTTCTCTCTAACAAATTTAGTTCTTCTGGAAAGTTCCAATAATATAATTTTTTCGAATAAGAGCAATACTTCATTGGTTTTGGGACAGAAGCTTATAAAATCTAAAATAGAGAATAAGGGTCCGTATTTATAAAAATGAAGTAGATGATGGTGGCCCAAAGACAAAACGTCAAATTTCAAAATTGATAAGGTCATCTTGTAGACTAGGAAAAGTGGTACCGATAAAGTGACATTTATTTTGAAATATCTTGAAATCGATTTTGCAAAATTTTGTTTTTTTCCGGATATCTTGGAAAATGTTCGGAATTTTTGAAATGTCAAAGTACCATTTTATTGAGCGTTAAATTCCGCAACTTTTTTCCCATTCAACCATTGCCGTATCTGCTACCGTTTACGAGATGCCGATGATAGACATCCTTATCGTCCTGTATACTAAGAATGGAACACTTCTGTAAAAAATCGAGTAACTCCATCACAGTCTCTTGGCAGAAATGAATGATATTTTATTGAGCAAAAAAATACTAAAACAAAATTGTTACCTACCTGAATGAATAGATGGATATACGGCCAAAGTTACAAAGAATATCAAAAAAACATTGTAGAGTTGTGGTGAAGCTTTTTTAAAGATGTACCCAAATGGCGGTCTCTCCGAGCTATCATCAGCAGATTTCCTCATTTCCTGCTGTTTCTTATCATTTATATCATAATGGCGGTAAAATCGCTAAAAAATCAAACAAATAAGTGAAAACCACCTTATGTTGCCCCGAAAATACTTACATTGAGCGGTAAAGCAAAGTAAGTATCAAAACCAATCAATAGGACAAATAGGGCAGTGATGAAGTACCAAATGGCAGCCATTTTTTGACTCGTTGTAACGTACTGGGAGGCTATACACACGAGGGTGGTGAAAGTACCGCAAATATTGTTTCCCAAAATAACAGCGCCTGTATATTTTGGCGGTAACTTTGCCGCCATACCATACACTGTGTTCTGATAAACTCCATTTGCCACTAAGAAAATTACATTATTATAAAAACTTCTTTGAATGTGTTTGTTAAAACTTACTATTCAATACGACAACACTAATCATAGTAACATAAAAGAAACCGTAAGGCCATGAGCTGCTGTCCACCATAGCCAAGACTATAGTTATTATGAAGAGTAAAATGTTTATAACTATACTCCACATTATCCTTAATGTTAAATCACCCCTGAAAATATACAAAGGATTGGTAAGTACCTGAAAAGTTTTTATTTATAATGTACTTACTTGATAGGCACGAAAATGTTAAACCAATTGAAAATCACATTAGGAACTTGCGAACAGAAAGTCAAAATCTGCATAAAATTTGATACGTAGGGGAAAGTGTATCCAAGAGACCCTCCTCCCAATTTGAAGATTATGAAGTACTGTAAAAAAAAAAGAAATTGTCAGTAACATAAACAACCCTGATTCCAAAGTCTGCAAAAAAAAGAGGCTGGATAAATGGGGAACTTTGCCTCATAGTTGCTCCATCATTCAAGAGACATACAATTTTTTTAAATTATCGGCAATGAAATATGAGTTTCAGTCTTTCGAAACGAAAGACTTCGTTCTAGATGTTACAATCATTAGAAAGTTAGTTTATGTTTCAATGAAGCGATTTTTCTAAACTTGAACTTTTTCATACCAAATTTTTTGGTGGCCGACTCTGTTTTATAGCGCGTCATTATTGCTTCTAGGATGGTCTAGATAATTTCGAATTTCCATTCGAGACTTTTAAGGCAGTGTTGCAAGCTTGTGCACAATTTACCCCACTTGAGAGAATTATAGCATTACATAATAATTTGCTAAATGTTCAAGGATTTCAAAAATGATAGAAAAAGGACCTTTGGTAGGTACTGCTAATTTTCTTTCGCAAATAATTTCCGTAAAATACTCAGCCCAGTTTTTTTTGTCGACAAAAATAGGGGATGAGAAATCAGTCAAGGTAAATATTATAGATATGCTCCAAAAAATATGAACTTAATTCTTATATGGACTTCTACAACTCAAATTTTGACTGATTTCCGATACTTATTCAAGCTCTAAAATGAAATAATTGGATATAGGTACTTACATCAATGGCATTAATGAACATATTCCAAGGCAACAGAGTGGCGATACCGTGTATTAAAAATATAATATATACAAACGAATACTTGTCGGGCGGCGTGTGAATCTGCAAACTGGCCTCGTCCATCGTGAGATTTTTGAAATTCAATTCGGCCTCTGGCAAATTATTTTCTTCCCAAGACGGTTGCAATTTCACCGGTTTCTGTAGACGAGTCCGTTCGTTGGTCTCATCGCCACCAACTGAAAATAAACAAAGAATGGAATCCAATTAATTTTGTGTCTTCCCTTTTGGCCTTTACCTGCGCGCTACTGGGGCACTACTACCTTTGTGGACCAAACGGCCCAAACGATGAAATGACGACGCAATGCGAGGGGACAAGAACTTCTTTTTTAGTTTTTTTCAAGCATACAAAATATGAAGGCTTAAAATACCATATTTGGGTTACCTGAAAGTCCCTATCGTCCAAAGGATTTTGCACCACATTTCAGGAAAACTCAAGGCAGAGAGATTATTTTTTTAATTTGAAATTGGATTGCTGATGGGATAAAAGTTTTACTGGAGAGAGAAGTTAATAAAATACCAAGCTAGCTGACCTAACAACAGCTTTGATAGGTACCCGTATAAAGCCTTATTTGCTCTGGACTAATTGAAACTGTATAGTTATTTCTGCTTTGTGAGCTTTTATTCACTAGCTAATAATTTGGAGTTTTAGGTATAATTTAAAACACACATTTAAATAGACTTTGTATTTTCGGGGATAATACCACGAGAGCTTCAAAATTACCGATAATTTTTCACGATTGCGTGTTTTCTATAATTTCACGAGTCCGTAGGACGTAGGACGAGTGAAATTTGCAGAGAAAACACGCATGAGTGAAAAATTATCTGGTTCATTTTAAAGCTCAAGTGGTATTTAGAGGATTATTTCACGTATGAAAATGCAAAAAATATGGGAATAAATATGTATTAAACGATTTGAACATCTTAACAATCAATACAAATAAATGGTTGCTATCAGGAACCGTTTGTTTGTATCAAAAATTAGCATGACAACCATGTACCTATACAATAACATGGGAGAATTATCGCTGTAATTCTCTCTAGTTAAACAAATGGAAAAGAGAATTTTCGCTGTAATTCTGAAAATCGTCACTTGTCTTATGGGATTTCTAACACATGAGTGGAATAATCGCCATTATTCAACCAAGAAGGTATATTGGCCAAAAAAAATTCTTGAGTAAGTTCCTATAGTTTATTTTTCAATGACTTGGTACGATAAATTAAAACCCACGAAATTTTAATCCCTCGAACCCTTTACAGAGTGACTCAACACTTTCATTAGCCTCATTAGTACCCACATACAGAATGAATGAATGAAAGGGGTATTCTTACACTGCGACCTGTATGGATCTATTGTGTCCTCCTTCTAGGTGCTTCAGTTGATAGGATTCTCACTCAAAGCACCTCATTCAGCTTTGAAGATTTTATGAACGCAAGTAAGCTGGATGATTCTATGGATGGAATTTCTTTCCGTCTTACGATGCAGCATCCGAAGCAGAGAATAGAGAATTCGTTTGTTCACGATTGCTTCGCACTTCGTGGTGTTCTGGAGTTCCTTTCCCCTCCTCACAGAACCGGCAGCTGTCTTCGTTTTCGATTTTGATGCTCTTAAAGTGCCCTCTTAACCGGCAGTGGCTTGTAAGGAATCCAGTGAGAATGCGAATATTGTTTTAACTAAGTGATACCCCAATAAACATTTTTGTTTCTATAATATTTACCGTAAATGTTACATCACCTTCTTTATATAACTTAAGGTTTTATATCCATTTACCGAAATATTTCTGTTACTCCTATAAACCCTTTAAAGAGCTTAAATTGAGCGTTTATAAAGGTTTCGAAAACCTGTGTTTAGTAACGGTATCTAACTTTAATTTATGTAACCATTGGTAACGGAAATATTGTGGTAACCACTATATAACTTTTGTCAATTCTGTCATCATTATAAATACATATTTTTTCTCTCTCAAATACATTGCTTTAAATGGTCTCCTACTATTCTATTCCCACAATTCTATTTCAAGATGTCTGTTACTAAAAAAAAAATAAATATGGAGTCCAAATATTAATAATATTTACCTATTAGAAAACGATGGTACTTTGTTGTAATTTTACAGCATTGGTAGACTCAAAATATAGGTGGGAAACTTTTTCTACTGCAAAAGTAGAACCGGTACTTCGAAAAAACGCAGGGGCCCTTCAAATATTCACTTTTTATTAATTTCAAATCAGTTTTCTCACAAAATATACACATATAAATATTAATTAAAATTAGATTTAAGAAGAAATTAATGTCATTTCCGTTTTGCATATGCCAGTATTAAACAATTATTGTATATTTTGCATCAAAATCAGCTTAACCTAGTGTTTTTGCAACGCATCTTTTTTATTATTATGATTTTGGTTAGAAAAATATGGCGGATCACTTTAGTAACAATATAAACTCTGGAAACTATAATATCACCTAAGGTTATATTTTATAACTATTAGTAACATTATGTACTTAACTTTTAACCAGATGCCGTCAGCGTCGGTATTGGCAATTTTGGTCTCAAAATAGTGTTATTGCTATAATCATCATGTTTATCAGTTCCCTCAAGTAATTTATTTTCTTGTCTACGAAATTGTGTTTAGTGTCCTCGTGGAAGATACTGAGGGCACTGAATTTGAGATTTTATCAAAATTTTTCTGAAATTTTCCGGCGAAATGATGTACTGAACTTCATTTTTTTCAAAATCATTATGCACAGATTTCTTATAACAATAATAAACAACAACAGACACCTGATTATTGTTATATGTCAAATTAGGTAGTTTCGTTTTACTAAAGGTTTTATAAAAGAAATTATCATTACCAAAAGTTTTATAACATATACTGCAAACACTACTAGTTTCCAGGTTCTATAAAGGTGATTGACAACACTTTTATATAACTAGGGGTATTCTAGTTATATAAATGAGGTAACGGTAACCTTTATAAAAATTTCTTATAAATATTTTAGTAACGGGTACTAAAAGTTTTATAAAATGGTGATGGAAATAGTTACATCACCTTATTATATACCTGTAAGTTATAGTAAACTTATAAATACTTTATAAAACTATGTTACCATAGGTTGCAGATTATAAAACTTGGAAACCTTCTTATATACCTTTGTTACTATTATATACCCATTATACTTGACGTTACTATAAGTTGCGAAAAATGTTTATTGGGACGGTCTTTTGATCTTCCTTGGTAAAGAGACCCAAAAAACATTAGCTGAGCTGATTATTGGTGAGCTCAGCGTTTTGATGGCTGCTTGACTGTCTGAGAATATGACAATCTTTTTTTTGTAGCTTCTGTCAAGATTGAACTCAGCACATCTACTTATGGCGTTTATTTCCGCCTGAAATATGTCTGGGTATTTGCCCATTGCTTCGGAGAACTTGATTCCAGGCCCAAGTACTCCAGATCTGGTCCCTTGTTCAGTTTTTGACCCATCAGTATACCATTTTACGGCTTTCTGCTGCATTGTTAGTGTGGATGTGGTGTTTCCTCCCATTCTTCTCTGTTTCTATGACACATACAGAATTTTTACAAACTTATTTTTCAAGAAAACTCATCCGAAAGGCTTGATCTACCCTTATCAACCATCCACCCGCCAAATAATGGGTTTTCGGGTTTCATGAAGCGTATTTTTGTGAATTATGCAGGTTAATAGGCTCGCCAATGAGCTAACTATAATAAATGCATTCTGACACATTCATGTGTGCCCTGGGATTGAAGAACAGAGTATAGATACTTAATTTTTCTACTTTTCACTCCTGTTGAAAAGTTACATAGAAAATATGTACCTATATATATTTCTTTACAAATCTTTTCAGACGCACAAAGATAAATTTTTAATGCCTACTCCCACTTTCAAGAGAAATATCCTCAAAAAAAAAACGAACATTCTATTTTATTTAAGCACGCATTCAGCTAAATATTTACAAGCTCGAAAAAGAAAACGGAGGCTTAAAATGTCGTCTTTACGTTACCTGAAAATCCGTATCATCAAGAGTTTTTTGCAGGGAATTTCAGCGGGACACGAACGCTGAGGGCTTATTTTTCAATTTTTAAACGGATTGCTTTCTTAATGTTTTGCTAGGGAGGAACAAATAATTTACGGTTTCATTGCTCTCTCAAATCAAGACAAACAGAAAATAAAGGAGACCATAAATTATTGAAGATATGAGAGCGCAGGAACTGCGCAAAACATAATTGCGCAGGATTCACAACAGCAAACAAACTGCAAACGCTTTGAGTCGAAAATCATAGGATATGAGTTTATTTATTTATTTGGGGTACATCTTACAAACGTCAAGCAAGTTGATAATGACAAGTAAGGGTAACTTGCAATTGCTTGCAACTAAAAGTAAAATCATTACTCACTATCTATTACCACTTAACAGAATCCCTAGAGACTACCTGAAACTAAAACCACGGTGGAAAATACACTACTACGAAAAAAACATCGGTAAGCTTTTGGACATCCACATTGTACATGTCAATACGAAACTTATCAACATTACACTGATGCTGCATTGAGGTCAGTAGTGACCAGTTGAATGTATCACAGTAAAACAGATCAGCGTTTTTTTTTCTTAAATCTATTTTAGGAAGATGGAAGCTTATATAATTGATAAAGAAAAGTGTTTTGTGTTTCTTATAATAAAGCCCAATGCTCGATATGCCTTATTGACAACGCAATAATAATGATCATTGAATTCCATGTTCATTTGGAAGTTAACTCCGAGATCCTTATGCTTGTCTTTTTTCTGCAATGATGTATCATTTATTGTATAGGTATTTGTAGTGTAATAATTGATGTTACGAGTATATGTAATTGCTTGACACTTGTCAATGTTGAGATGCATTTTGTGATCTAGAAACCAGCGAGCGACAGAGTCCATGTCCTCCTGCAATCTCATGCAATCTTCTGCTTTGGTAATAAGTTTAAAAACCTTAAAATCATCAGCATATACTAAGCTTTCTGAGAACTTTAAAAAAAAAAAAATTCAGGAATACTTCAGATTCTCTTCTTGAACTTTGGCAACAGATGAATAATATCTGATCTCATAGAGTTGATTATCACTTCGTTTATTGTTATGAGACTTGGAGCACTTTATCTTGGAAACTGCATTTTTCAAATTACAGA